CAGATTTGATTTTTGCTTCAGGTGTCACACTGGCTGGCTCTAACTATCACATTAAAAAAATCATTTATTTGTTTTTATTTAATTTTATTTTTATTATAGTTTTTATATTACTTTTAATTGCATGTATGTTTACAGTGTATTACATTTCTTTTTCCAGCACAATTACCATGCACATAAGTCAAGACAAAGACATTACTATCCACATTATCATCATCAAATAGCTTTTCATCATTTTTTTCAGATTATTATTATTATTATTATCTATTCTCATTATTTTTTTAAACATTCAATCACTACATATCATTTGCTTATAAAGAGAATTTACCCTACATGAAATATTTATCAGAGATATTGGTCCACAGTTTTCCTTTTTTGTTATGCATTTATCTGTTTTGGGAATGAGGATGATGGAGGCTTCATAAAATGTATTTGGGGGACCAGCAGTTAGCGTAATGGCTATATCTCTGAACTCCCACATAGTCGACCACGGTTCATGTCCCAGACCTGGTGACTGAAACTCACGCTGGGCGCGTGTGCGTGCGTGCCCAAGATCCCGAGAGGAGAATGGAGGAGAAGGGATTGCAGCGTGGCTATCACCCCAGGGGGTGATTTCTAGCTTTCTGTCTCTAAAAAAAGTATTTAGAAGGTTTCCTTACTTTTGGATCTTTAGAAGTAATTCAAGTAGAATAGAGATTAACTCATCCATAAAATTTTTTTAGAATTCAGAAGTGAAGCCACTCGAACCTGGGCTTTTCTTTGATCCGAGGTTATTTATTACTGATTCAATCTCATGGCTTATTATGGGTCTATGAAAATGCAGATCAAAACAACAATGAGATATCACCTAATCCCAGTCAGAATGTCTAAGATTAAAAAAACAAAAAATGATAAGTGTTGGCGGGGCTGTTTCATTATGTATCTGGTTTCTTTCTTTGTTCTCCTGTATCAGTCTAGCTAATGGAATGTCGATCTTGTTAATCTTTTCAAAGAACCAGCTTTTGTTTTCATTTATTTTCTGTATAGTTCATTTATTTTCTACTTTATTGATTTCTGTTTGAATCTTTATGATTTCTTTTTTCTTGGCATTTTGTTGTTGTTTTTCTAATTCCCTGAGGCATGATGACAGGTTGTCTATTTGCCACCTTTCTCTTTTTTTCTTATGTGCACTTATTACTATGAATTTCCCTCTTATGACTGCTTTTGCCATGTTCTATAGATTATGGAAACTCATGTACTCATTATCATTTGTTTCCATAGATTGTTTTTTATTTCAGACTTAATTTCTTCAGTAGTTAAGAAGTCATTCAGAAGTATGTTATTCCATTTCCATGAATTTATGTATTTTTGAGGATGTTTCTTGAAATTATTATCAAGTTTAATTCCATCATGGTCAGAGAAGATGCTAGATATAGTTTCTATGCTTTTGAATCTGTAAAGGCTTGATTTATGTTTGATCATATGGTTAATCTTTGAAAAGGTTCCCTGCCAGGGTTAGAAAAATGTATATATTGTGACCTTTGAATGAAAAGTTCTATAGATGTCTGTCAAGCCCATTCGATTTATAGTACCATTTAGGGTCTGTATCTCTCTATTTTTTTTTATCTAGAAGATCTGTCTAAAGGAGATAATGGGAAATGAGATCCCCAACAATTGTAGTATTGCAACCTATCTCTCCTTTTAGCTCCAGCAGTCTTTCCTGCACATATTTAGGTGCTCCTGAGTTGCATGCATAGATATTTATAAGTGTTATGTCTTCTTGATGAATTGACCCATTTATTATCATATAATGACCTCCTATGTCTCTTCTTACAGTCTTTGTCTTGAAGCCTATTTTGAAATCAGTATCACAACTCCAGTCCTTTTTTGATTTCCATTTGCATGGAATATCTTTTTCCAGTCCTTCACTTTTAGTCTATGTCTATCGTTATCCATAATGTGTGTTTCTTGTAGGCAACAGATAGAGGGTTTCTGGATTTTTTTTTAATCCATTCAGCCAGTCTGTGTCTCTCAATGGGAGCTTTAATCCATTAACATTCAATGTTATTATTTATATTTCCAGACACGTTCCTATCATTAAGTGAGTCATTTTCTTGGTTGTTTTTTGTTCTCTTATAACTGTCTGTCTGATATTAGTTTTCTGGTATAGCCCTCCCTTCAGAACTTCTTGAAGAGCTGGTCTGGAGTTGGTAAATTATTTCAGGTTTTGTTTATCTGAGAAATTTTTTTTATCTTTTTTTCCCATATGAAGGATAATCTTGTTGGGTATAGTATTCTTGGTTGAAATTGTTTTTCATTTAACACTTTTATATTTTCCCATTCTTTCCTTTCCTGCATTGTTTCCAACAAGAGGTCCGATGTTAGCCTGATGGGATAACCTTTGTAAGTAATTTGTCATTTCTCTCTTGCCAGTCTGAGTACCTTGTTTTTGTCTGTGGTTTTGGCCAATCTGGCTATAATGTGTTTTGACAATTTGGCTATCACGTGCCTTGGAGAGGATCTTCTTGGATTGATTCTATTTGGAGTCCTAAGTATTTCTTGGGTCTGGATATTTGAATGCCTCTTTAGGTTTTGAAAGTTTTCTTTCAGGATTTCATGAAATAAATTATCAATGTCTACTATTTTCTTTCTCTTCTGGGATCCCAATTATCTGGATGTTGGGGTGCTTGGTGGTATGTAGTATTACTCATATATTATCCTCATTTTTCTTGGTTATTTTCTCAATCTTTTTGATACTTTTTTTCTAGGTCAGAGGGTTTATCTTCTACATTTCTGTGTGATCTAATCTACATTTAATACTTTTGAGGAAGGTTTTGATTTCCTGTATCATATTCATATCTAATAATTATACTTGATAATTTTTTATGGTGTCTATTCTTTCAAATTGTGAAAAGACTTCCTTATCTCCTGGAGCTCATTGTCTCTTTTCTCTTGCATCTCACTTAGTTTGGTCTATAAATATTTTGAATTGCTTATTCGACATTTCCATGACTTCCAGTGTGTTGTCTATGGATGATGTGAAATTGATGTTTTCCCTTATGGGAGAGACATTTTCTTGGTTGCTCATATTTCTTGTGCCTCTGTAATTGTTCCTAGTCATCTGGTGACCTATATATTCCTTCCTAAATTATTCAAGGTATCTATGAGCATTCAAAAATGTACAGGAGTAGAAAGTTGGCAATCTCTCTTCTGCTCTGCCTATCTGTTGCTCACCAGCACCCTGCACTATTGTCTCTGGTTTTGGGTGACCTAAAATCCTCCCTGTTTCTAAAGAATAGGTGCATCTGAAACTGAGCTGCTGAGCTTCACCTCAAGAGCAAAGAAAAGATCTTGTGGCACACATTGCACGCTGCATGCTATCCAAAACACTGAAGTCCTGAGAGTTCAAAGGTGAGTGGGGGAGGGGATGATCCATAGTCCCAACTGTTAGGCTCTGCAGCCACAGGCAACCTGGTGAACCGGTCTATTGCATGTTAATATAAAAACTTTTAATTTAGTCATTTGTCTATTTTATGTCAATATGGACTCATTGTATTCTGTTTTAGTTAATGGATTTTAATCCATTACTTTAATAATCAAGACACAAGATTTGACTTTTGATATAGGTTCTTTCACAGAGGCCACAGTGAGGGTGTAGTTGGTTCATGTTGTGGTCTGGTTAAGCCATGCTGCTTAAAAACAGGCTATGTTCTGAGAACCATGTTGTCAGGTAATTTTGTCATTGTGAGGACATCAGAGTATACACAAGCCTAAATTGTATAGCCTACTATATACTGCTATATGTCGTCAGGTAAATATGAGCAGGGAGTTCTGAGATGCCAATGAAGGTGGAAAGAGTAGCCAAAGATATGTTTCCAAGATTTATATGTGATTCCACCTCCTCCCCTTCGAAAGCAATTAATGTCTGCAATGAAATTTCTATTCCTTTTAGGATAAAATAAGAAATTCTTTTTTTTTTAGACTTATTTATTTAATTTTATTTATTCATTCATTTATTTTAATTTGACCAGACAGAGATAGTGAGGGAGAGAGAGAGAGAGAGGGAAAATGAGAAAGCAAGCCACCAGGTCCAGGACCCGAACCGTGGTCATCAGCCATGTGGGAATGTCTAGCGTCTTAACCACCACGCCACCTGCTGACCCTAAAATAAAATATTCTTAATGTGGTTTATAAAAATATTCATTTTCTGGTATCTGCTTATAACTCTGGACTCATCATGCTCTACTTTTGTTTTGAATTTTTCTTTTTATGAGATTAATATATTTCTATTGGACTTTGTTGAGAAGAAGAAAGGTAAACAATAAAATTTTGAGTAGATTATTGTTTTATGGATGTTTGCTACAGAAACACAAAATTTAGAAATCTAGAAAATGTCCCAGATACCACCTAAATTCAAAGAAATGTGTGTGCTTAGGCTAATAAGTTTGGAGAGGTTTTTTTTTTTTTTTTTTTTTTTTTTTTTTTTTTTCCTTTAGGGGCCCCCCCCCCCCCCC